AGATTTATCGATATGAGTGATTAAACTATTAAAAATTCTAGTATTTTACTGTAATTTTTAGTACTTCAGAGGTCAAAATTTAAGTTTTTTTAAAAACATTTATTGATAATGATAGAAATATCTTAAAGCAGCGACACTCCTGGGAAAACGCTCTGGTAGCGTTTTTGTTTTTCAGTACTAGCAAGTTCAATATTGTGTAGTAAAACATTAGAGAACATATATCAGCACATCTTCATTTTTACTCAAAGTTTTTTATAAGTGCAAAAAATGAATACGAAGCTTTCACAATCTGCAAAAATAATATATATTTTAATCAGATATCTGTATGATTGAGATGTATGAATGAGATTCATACCGCTACATATGTTTGTAATGTAAGATTTATAAATGACCCAGCAGTGATTCGAATAGGCTTTTGTGATCTCATCATCATCATTCGCAAACTTGCTCGGAATTTGTTGAAGTAATATACCATTTGCCTGTAAGCAGCTTCGGACACTTGAAGTACTCTGTATAAAGTATGTAATCGCTATTAATAAAGTCTACGTTAGTCAATCGGGTAAATAAAATAAAAACCACGGGTACATGGCATTATGACAAAAGGCTACTTCCCGTAGGGCAAGTTATAGTAATCGCAAAGAAATCGAAAATGATTATATATCTTTATGTTACAAAGGTTTCTGAATATTTTGGCATACTAAAAAATGGATGTATGTGTATGTGTATGGTATGTGTATGTATGTGTATGTGTATGTGTGTGTGTGCGTGTGTGTGTGCGGATACAAATTTTCGTCGACAATTTCGGAAACACCGATCAACCGATTTGAATAATTCAAAAAACATTCGATTCGTATTGATAACGAGACGTGCTGATTAGTTTTTGGCAAAGGCAGATCTTGCTGTTTAAAAGCATTTCACTTGTATGGACAAGATGAAGAATTGATCAAATTTTCATGAAGGCAGGTCTAGCGCTTTCGGAGATCTAATGAAAAAGTAAAAAATTTGGCGGTCAAGAATGATTATTTGGCATATGCACATCAAATTATCAGATATTTTTATAGAGATTTTAACAATAAGTATAAATTTTGTTTACATTCATATGGGTTTCCGTACCAATGCTTATCTGTTGGACGGCGACGCGGCACTTATGCGCTTTGACATTTCCTCTCAATGCAGTTAAAGCAGTACGATTGCTTTAAAAAAAATTCAGAATTTCCAAAATATGTCAAAATAAAGAAACATTTTTTTTTTCAAAAAAAAAAATATTTTTTGTCAAATTATATTTAGTTACTGAAAAATCTAATTTTTCGAAGTAAATTTTTTTCAAAAATGTTAATCGTTTTTTAAAAAATCATAATTTTTGGTACGGGAAGTTCCAGAAATTTGCCTTAAGGCACAATGCCATGCGCCCCACTGTTACGTTTTTTATTGGATCTCCAAGACCGCTGGACCTGACTTCCCAAAAATTTAATCAATTCTTTATCCCGCTCACGCGTGCTGTGTTATTATATAAATAAAAATATAAACAAAAATACAATTCTGTTACATCTAGTTATCAAAATAAAAAAAAAATTTCGCTCGTATATTTAATGATTGATTGTTGAGCTTTATGAAATGCATCTTTGAGCAAAATATTCCTTTCAGCATCCCAATAGTAATATAAGATTATAAGCATATTAGCAGTAAAAATTCAACAATATATTACCTAAACCCACATATTGAACAACTAACTATCAAATACGTACAGAAAATTTTCCAGTTATTGTCTAAATATTTTAAAATTTTATTTTTGAGCAGCAATAGTCCTATAAGCTGTTGTGCTGATTTGACTTAATACTAATCTGTTTGACAGAAGGCTAACTAAACACAACTTTTCCCAATCATTACAAATTTAATGTTTTTGGGATCATCCAAATCGGATGTCTCACTCGCTTTCTATTTTCTGAATTCTTTGCTCCAAATCTCCGTAACACCTGGACCTGTCTGGCAAAAACTCAGCACATCTCCCATATCAATTTTAAATCGAATTCGTAAAATGAACGAAAAAATGCGGCCACAAAATACACACACATGTATTTTTTTCTGATGTATGCCAAAATGTTCAGAAACCTTCAAAACGTAAAGATATGCAAAATTTCATTTTCGATTTTCGGCCCATTACTATAACTACCCCACGGAAGTTAATAAAAATCAGTGGTAGCCAATCCTTACCACTCGGTTTATAAGAGAGTAACATTTTAGGAAATGATATATGTGTTTTTAATCACGTATTAGGAAGAATAAAACATATCTAAAATTAAAAGAAAAAAAAATTCTTTGGTCAAACAACCCACCACCTGTGCGGAGATATACCAAATATATAGATGTATTTTGAATACATAGATGAAAGACAGACAGACAGACGGACATACATTGATTTTTATATAATTTTATATAAGATTGATTCAGATGGTTCATAAAAATATAATCACTCATTCCAAAAATATTGATAGAACTTTAATATGTTCATGATAAGAAGTGATAAACTCGATTTAATTTCGTCTTATTCGTTTCAGAATAGTTTGAAACGTCGGAAAAATATAAAATCAATTTTTGGTGAAAACATAAACTTTTCCTCGGTAAGTTAATAATAACCAATGACATATTGAACTAGTGGGATGGGGTGGCATCGTGCCTTAAGGCAAATTGCCGGAACTTTCCGTACCGTAACGAAATGTTCGAGGAATACTACTGAATGTTTTCAAATAGATTATTATAAATAGTGTAATTGCTAATTTTATAAGAATTATATAAACTGAATTGCAAAGTTGAAATTATTTGTAAAGTATATTAGAACTATAGTCAGAAATAAAAATAAAATCTGAATATTTTCGATATACAAAATTAAAAAATTTAAAAAAAAATAAAATAAAAACATGTTGAAACAAAAAATGTTTTTTCCAAAATCAATTATTTTTGTTAAGACAAGCAGAAAGTTCTTTGAATCAATTAAATCGGACGCTTAGTTCTCTCAAAAACTGCCATTTTTTGTACATTTAGATCCGTATCTACAAAATGGCTGGGCCTGCCTTTGAGAAAAACTAATAACCACTTCTCCCAATTATTACTAATTGAATGTTTTTTAGATCATTCAAATCGGATGCTCCGTTCTCTCAAAAACTCGATTTCTATGTTCTGCACTCTTTGCTCTTTATCTCCGTAACTGCTGGACGAGCCTTTGCCAAAAACTAATCAGCACATCTCCTTATCAATAGGAATCGAATGTTTTTTGAACCATTCAAATCGGTTGATCCGTACGCCCGAAAACGTGGACGAACAATTGTATCCATACATACATACACACACACGCACACACACACATCCATTTTTTCTGAAGTATGCCAAAATGTTCAGAAACCTTCAAAACGTCGAGAAATGTAAAAATTCTCAATTCCGCTTTTCAATAACAGACAATAACTTACCCTGCGGAAAGTTAATAATGCTGTAAAAGTAAATGGCAAGTTGCAATTTGTGAAATTTTAGTATTTAATGAAACAACTACTATAAAAAACAAAATTTGAAAGCCAACTGCAAATGTTCGATTTAAAATTTAAAACTCTATTGATTTTCCTTTCTATTGATTTTCCTTTTTCTTTTATTATCCAGCATGTAATAATATTAGCTCCTCAATATTTAGCAATGACTTAGATTTGAAAATTTTAAAAGGCATTTCATTAATTTCTTTTTGACAAGATAATTAATGAGCAAGATTACTATACATTACCAGCGCTAGAAGTTGGTTGCCGTTCCAACAGTAAAGAAATAATTGATATAACATAGAGAAAAAATATCCCAATGATGTTATGACCGCCATTAGCGAAGCCCCATGTGACGACAGCTGAAATAAAAATTAATATTGGGGCTTATTTGAAAAAGAGTGTTTAAAATATTCAAGTTATTATTTGTACCTTGGCTAACTGGTATAAAGATGCACATAGAATTAAACTAGTCACAGAAAAATGCAAAAATACTGCTGGGCTCAAGCAATTCTGTAAACACTTAGTTCCAACATATATTTCTTCGTGCTTATCAATGCATTTACATAGTTCTTCATACAATTCCTCCTCCTGAATCAAAGCTTTTTGAATATATATGCTTTGGTATATACAACATGATTAGAATATAATATTTGTATTAATTACTTCTTGTACACGATCCGTTAAATTCTGGATTTTATTCATTAATAATTCTAGCTGGCAGCAAAATAAACCCATTAAGTTTGCCATTAGCACGTCATGCATAATATCTCCACAAGCTGACAAAAAAAATCCAAAAATTTGATGAATGTAGCTGATTTCATAAGCTGGTGAAGCAATTATATTATAAGGATACCTGAAAATTAAGATTTTCATGACAATAATCACAACAGTACAACGTGAGTAAAACTATTCACCATCCAATAAATGGCAGTATTCTGTCATCGCCTTTTATTTTATGTTCCATCACAGGCCTGGTTGATAAACCACTTATTGTAACCACTGCCAAGCTCATAAAGGTCGTCAAATTAACTAAAGCAGACTTTTCGTACCTTCAAATATAATTAAATGTGCAATGCAAGGTGAATACAATACAGGATTATCATATTTGAGTAAAAAAATAAGTTTGCTCTACTAACTTTTGAATAATTTCTAATGATTTTGGATCGCTCGCTTCTAATTTGCTCACGCGTGCGCTACTGATCATCCTATCATAATATTTGCTTTTGCGTAAGCAGTTGAAAATCTTGAATGAATGCACAACATTTGTAATCAAGAAAAATAATATGTCCATTACTTCATCCATATTTCTGTAGTGAATTATCATGTGTACGCCTTGTATTATTACCAAAGTTCCTAAAGTATTGACAAGTAAATATATATTTTACACCTAAATTTTTTAACTTTTAAATTTTTAATATATACTGTTTAAACACAATTGTTTTATTAATGTTTGCCATGTAAACAATATGACTTTTGCCTTTTTTATCTTATATATAAAAATGAATCGCAAAATGTGTCGGTTACTTTACTCAACAACGCCTGGACCAATTTGGCCAATTCTTTTTTTAAAATGTTTGTTGATGTCCAAGGATAGTTTTAGCAAAAAAAATCGAATAATTGCCGGAAAAACCTTAAAAAAGCCCTTTTCTTTTTCACATACAAACGTTTTCTAACTAAAACGTATAATCAATTTGAGCTTTATTGCTATTATATAAAGTTCATATTAAACTACAAGCACTCACTGTATACTCCTCCTAAACGATTGAAAATAAATGAAAACTATCATCTGCTAAAAATTTCAATTTTCTTATGATACTAGACAATATTAGAATATGTATAATAAATTTATGATTATGAATAAGAAAAATGAAATGTCTACATTATTATGAGATGTGCCAGAAATTAAAATAACATAATATACAGTATATATAGTAGATAGAATGATACACATATGAACAGGATATGATAAATTAATTCACTTAAAATTTGAAATTAAGTATTAATCGGGGCCGGTCCTACCTTTAATGCGATGCCTGCGAAAAATACGAGCGCACGACTTAGGGAGTGCCAACACAAGATTCGGATATTAAATATTCAATATAGTTTTTTTTTTCAATATATAATTTTTTTGCATTTTTTACTAATCTTTCCACAATATTTTTAAAATTCGTTAAAATTTCACTTTATAACAACAAATGGGAAAGTAAAGATGAAGACATACAATTCGGCCCTTACGATATCAATTAGGAGAAAATTAAGATACAATTTTGGATATCATAAATAATAAAAAATTAAATTAATTTAATCCAAGATGAAGTATCAGTATTATGTTATGGGTATGGTTATGTTATAACGTTTAAAAGACTTCAATTTCCAATATAGTGTGGGAATTGAGACTCATCATTTTATTTAAAGAAGTGAAGAGTAATTTAAAAAACAATAATTATTATTTTTAGGTAAACGATAAAATTTTAAATATTAGTATATTATATTAAAAAATTGTAGACATGGACAACGTCTGTCGGGTCATTTAGTATTAATCTACATATATATAAAAATAAGTCGGGTTTTCTTTCCTGACGATATAACTCCAGAACACACGAACCGATTTCGACAATTTTGTATTCGTTGGAAAGGTCTCGAGCTCTGCAATTTTATAGCTAAGTTTATAACTAAGAAAAATAGTGGTGCATGGCATCGTGCTTTAATGCAAATTGCTGGAACTTCACGCACCGTAATTAAAAATTTGAGTAATGAAAACAATCAATAATTGTTTTAAATAATTTCAAATAGATTATCTATATATATCTACATATACATGAAAATAAGTCGGGTTTTCTTTCCTGACGATATAACTCCATTAGTGAGAATTATCAGAATTATGCTTGGTTAAGTCAACGAGCAATTCTTGCCGTAAAGAATAATGATGTACACGCACTAAATTTCATCATTCAATCAAAAATTACTGGCGATTTGGTGATATACCAATGATTCCGACTGTTCTTCCGTTTTATTTCAAACGATTGCAATTTCCAGTTTGCCTTGCGTTCTGTAACAAGTCGCAAGGCCAATCGCTTAGTGTTTGCGGGATAAATTTCAAATAGATTATATAGAAAATCATTGTTTTTCACATGGGTAGTTATACATTGCCTGTTCACGAGTTGGAAAACTATCTGCTTTATTTATGTTAACGTCAGAAGAAAAAAAAATTTGGTTTATCAAAGAGCACTTCAATGAAACGGATAATTTGCGGATTCACTTTTATTTACTTAGAGAAGTTCAACTAAAAAACACTTCATTTTTGTAATCGAAATAAATTCATTACTGTTGTGTAATAAAATCATTTTTTTTCTTTTCAACTAGAAAACAAACAAAAAAATTCTTCATCTTTCTCACAAAACCATCTACTGGCGAAACGGAGTTTGTCGCGTTTGCTAGTATAAATATATAGAAAACTAATAGAGAAAAAAATACCCAATCGTCATTAATTTATCAGTATTATAGCCTAGAGTAGAGCTGGATTTGAAGGTCCGCGGTTAAAAAGGGCCACTATCAATATCTCAAAAATGTGTAAAGTTAGTATTTTTAACAGAAATAGTTGAAACTAGTGGGTTAAAAATGTATAACCTTCTCAATTCTTACGGCGTTGCTAGCAGGAGATAAACTGCCTTGTTTGCAAATCTATAACAGAAGTATTTCCTTTCGTTGTTCGTTTTTTGGTTGTGATCTCTGCTGTTTAGTTTACGAGTATGTTTTAGAAAATGTAGTGTTAATGTTAACTTAGATTCTACACATGTTTTTAAACAATCTCTATTATACCTCACATGTAAATGGGGTAAGGAAAACTAATTCAACCTTCACCCTGGCAGAGGTATAAATAATAAAAAATAGTAAATCAAGAAGTAAATTAAGTTAACAAATCAATTTTCAAAAGATAAATTAAATTAATGATTATTCCAACTCAAATGAATATTTCAGACAAAATACCAAATGTTATAAACAGTGTAATCTTTGTAAAAATGTACCCATGGAGTTTTTATTTTGCATTATTAATTCAGATACTATTTTGTAAAATTCCTTTAGCATTAAAAACTAGTTACAAGTGGCATTTACTTTAAGGCAAGTTGCGAAAACTTTCCGATATTTGTAATAATAATAATTAACCTAATCAATCAAAATTGGGATTTAGATTTCTTCATCTTTCTCACGAAAACATCTGGTGGCGAAACGGAGTTCGTTGGGTTTGCTAGTTAATTTATATAATTCAAACAATTTTCGTATGACAGTTTAATGTATGAAAAACGTCGAAACTATTTTTGAAAAAATTTAATAAATTATGTTATGAAAGATCAAGCATCTGCTATAAGAAAATTCAAACAAAATTACATAATCATGTACATAATTTTGGATATAATTTAATGATTTAAACTAGTTATTGGTATTTTGTGTGTATATAATCGACTTAATCAATGAAAAAATAAATTAATAAATTAATTTTTGAGTGATTAAAAGTATTCCGAGTGAATTTATTATACATAATTGAAAACTAACGAACACGTTTACTCGAAGTATTTTCTAAAAGCAAATAATAAAAAACTACTCATTTTCTAAAATTTTGATGAATTTTCAAAATTAAACTATTTGTCGTAAGGGAGTAATATTTCAGTGAGTTACATAAGACCATGATATGTATAGCCAAAAAAAGTTCCATAAAAAATGGCTTATTTTTTTTTCAACAGTTAATTTCATGAAAACGGCTCGGTTGATTTTCATCTAAAATTAAACAGTATCATTTCCAACTAATATTTTCCGAACAGTTTTAGATTTGTTAAAATTCATTCGGTAGTATAAGCTGAAATATGAACGAAAAGTTTAACACTTTTTTCCAAGTTACAAAGAAACGGCTCAACAGATCGTCGTACAAAATTGACAAAAGATAATCCAAATTGAAATACATCGATTGACTTTTAAATTTTTCAAATCGGTCTAGCCGTTTTTAAGAAAATGTCGATGAAAGTTCTAATTTGACAAACGCCAAATAAACGATTCCAATTTTTGCAAACTTTGTCGTATTTTTTAAATTAAATGACATGTCGTATGGCTGTAATATTTTAGTGTGATCTACAGGACTATGATATCTACCGTCAAAAAAAATCATAAGAATCGTCGAAAAAAAAAAATTTAACACTTTATTACATGAAAAGGGCCAGTCGATCTTTACCAAAAACTAATCAGTATCCTTCCCAGCCAATATATTTCTAACGGTTTTTGAATTTTCAAAATCGATTCAGAATTGCGGGCTAAAACGTGGACGAAAAATTTTTCACTTTTTTGCTATTTGTAAAGATACGTCTTGGCTGATCTTCGCGCAAAATTGATACACGCTAGTCCTCATCGAGATGCATCGAATAGCTTCAAAATTTTTAAAATCGGTCCGGCCGTTTTTGAGAAAACGTCGATTTACGGCAAAAAATCTGTTCACGCACACGCACACGCACACACACACACATGTTTACCAAATTTGGTCCCATTCGATTCAGAATGGCTTCTAACGTCGAGAAAACAGAATTAGCAAATTGGATTTTTTTATGGAAACATAAACTTCTCCTTCCGGAACTTAATAATAAATTGTATATTTTTACCCAATAGCTGACTAGCTCGATGAGACGCGTCGTCTCATTCCAAACATCAAAGTCTGGCTAAATTGCAATTATGGAGAAGTTTTTTTTATTATACTACACAAATGCTATCTGGGTACGGTCAATTCAGTTCTAATATCTTCAATCCTGAATCGATTTTGAAAATTAAATAAATGCTCGAAACATATTAGTTGCTAATCGTGCTGATAAGTTTTAGGTAAAGATTGGGCCGGTCCGTTTCTTTGTACTTATGTTGAAATAAATTTTTTTTACGGTATTGGTAAAATTTTTTATGATTATAAAAATAAGTCGTAAGCTCTACGACAAGTAGTTATATTTGAAAAAATCGTCAAAATGTTATCAATGTTTTTTTAACGGCTAAACAGATTTCACAAATTTAAAAACCAGTGATTTTTCACGAAAAAGTGATTATTCGTACAATATTGAGTAATCTGAAATAGTTTTTCACATTATATTGCTCTACAGTAACTCGATATACTTATAAATTACTCACAAATTAATATATTGGTTAAGTCGATTACTTAAATATTTCGGGAAGTTCAAG